CAGGCACGCTCCCCCTGAGAGCCATGCTGCATCTCCAGGGGAGCCGTGCTGCATCCAGGAGAGCCATGCTGCCCGTCCTGACCATGTTTGTGTCCTTGCAGAGAAGGGTTGATCATGAAGCGCTCTGGGGGCCACCGCATCCCTGGCCTGAACTGCTGCGGCCAAGGAAGGATGTGCTACCGATGGTCCAAAAGGTACTGCTGGGGTGGGTGGAGGGGGCAATGCCGTGTGCTCCTCAAGCGCATGTACAAAAATCCGTGCTTGTCTTTTTCTCCCAAAAAGTCTGTGAGGGAGATTCTTGCTTTTTTAATAAAAGCTACAGGTTTTTGGGTCAAAAGGGTTGGCAGATTATTTCCCTCTCACCCTCCTGTGTGGAGGGCAGAGAGGTTTTTCTCTGGAAAAACCTGCTATGATTGGAGATCGTAGCAGAAGGGACACGTTGCCACAGAGGAAAACTGGGATTTCCTACAGCCCTGAGCTGGCAGAAATGGCAAGAACACCCCAGCTTTCCCTGCTACAGGAGCACCCTGGGGCTCCGTGCCTTCGGAGCTGGTGACACTGCCCTGGCCGGATTTCAACCCGGTTTTCTGTGCTTCCCTTCTTCAATTTGCAAAAAGAAAATCAATTAATTGAGACACTATCTGGACTGCTTAGGAGCTAGATTAAATTGCATGTGACATACATGCGACAGGAAGGAGCTCTGTTTGGTGCAATTAACCTTGGAGTTAAATACATTGCCTCTTCCTTATTGCTGCACATGCTTAAATGCTGGAGTTTTCGTGGGAGTTTTCACAAGCTACCATGTTCCCGTGTCCCTTCCTGCTGCAGAGAGAAGTAACTTAACTGTCCCCATCTCTTTGTCTTCTTGTGTGAGATCTCACGTTCCCTGGGGCTACAGCACAGGGAAGCGTGTGCTGCGGAGGAGTATGAGTGTTACGAGTTAGCATCCAAAAAACTCAAGGGGTATTTCCTGGAGCTTGCCCTTGCTGGGCAAATATTTTCTTTTGAGAATCCAAATAGTGCATATCTGCCTTGCAGCAACAATTTCTGGGTCTGCAAGAGCTTCCCTGGGCGTTGCCCACCTTTGGATTTCAGCATTGCCAATGGGCTGTTGCTAGTTTTATCTTTAAAAAATTTCTGTTTTCCAACAAAATCTTTCTGCATTCCTGTGAGGAGAAAGGTCCTGATTCTTCATGGTCTTTTCAACTTTTCTTAATGTATTTTTACAGAAGATCTCTATAATGAGTGCACAAGGAGATGAAGATGTGACCTTCTTCCAGGTCAAATCATTAAATTGTCTCCAATTCCTTTCTTTTCTTTTATGGAGAAAAAAATGCCTTTTCCTCTCTATACCCCTCAGTTACATCCCCTATGTTACACGGAGCTCAAACGTTAGTGGGGACAGCAGCACATTCAGCTCTGATGGATCCATTTTCCTTTACAGCCTAAAAAGGGATGGGAGAAGGTTTTGAACGGGTTTGCATGCAGGGTAGCACAAGAGGGCATGAATCCCTGCCGTGCCCACCAGGACTGACACCGTGCATGTCAATAAATAAGGAAATAATAGTAATACTGTGCATCAATAAATCAGGAAATAACAGCAGTATTTCCTAGAGAGGGTTATTTAAATGAAGGATTTCAGGACACGTCAAGCTGGGGGCACAGCTTCCCCCAAGCATGGAGCAGACCATGGCCACCCTTTTCCCACAACAGCTTTGCCCATAGGCATTGGGGTTTTTTACCTCAAATTCGTTTCACTTATCATAACAGGTTGGGTGTGTTACGGCCGTTTGGGCTGTGGAAAGGGATGCAGAGGAGGACAACGGGGTGACACCAGGAAATGGCACGGGTGGGACTTTTGGGGCATGGAGAGCTGCCTGGGAAAAACAGAGGTGCAAATGCTTGGGAATGTGCTTTGTGGGGCTGTTTGGGGTGAAATCCTGGGCCAAATATGGGGGGGGGGGGGTGTATTTTGGCATTAAGTGAGAGGTGGTGCTGGGATAACTCTTTCAGGGCTCTGAAAGAGAGGAAAAATTATGGGATCTGGAAGTAGATGAGGAGCTGAGGCTGTTACTAAAGATACGAGAAGGAACAGATTTTCTGCAGTGTTTGCTGTTGCTTTGTGTGTTTCTGAGTGTGCAGAAGAATGAGGCGAAGGTCTGGTGGTGGAGACCTGTGTGGGACAGAGGGGGCTGGTTACCCCAGCTACGCCGCAGAGGGAGAAGAAATTAGAAATGCCACTCACAGGAAAAAAATGTGGTGGTGTTTTTTTTCCCCAGAGTTGTCTTCAGGCTACAGTATTTATGTAAAACCTGCCGGTCATCTCTCATCATGTGCTTCTGACAGGGTGCCTGTTGCTTGGCAATAAAAGCTTTCCAAAATGCCTTGTTCATATATTTTGATTGGAGTGAAAGTGATCATCATAATTAATGTTAGAGATGTCACGTAATTCCCATGTTGCCTCTCAGTATAGCATACAAGCTGAATGAAAATCTGGGGTGGAGGAATCCTTGTTGCACCTTGGCTGGTGCTGGGGCACCCGGCTGGATGTTTGTGGCCAGGGAGGATCTCACTGATTTCATTAGACCAGAGCCTGTATTTTCAAAGACTTCTGTAATAAGTAGTCATGCAAATAACTCTCAAAGTCTTATACTGAACTCAAATTCAAGTGCTTAAAATAGGCACTTTTCTGCTTAAGAAAACCATACCCTGGACTAGCCCCTAAAAAGTAATTTTACCTTCTGGTTGAATGCTTTCCATTCCCTGTTAAATGATGTGCAGTTGTTTTGAAAGAAACACTTTTGCACTTTGTTAGGTTTTTTTATGGCTCATGTTTTGAAGACCGTCATGGGTGAAATGCAAGTGACCTGATTGCTGTGCCCGTGCAGGTGGCTGGTGGTGAAGGACTCTTTCCTGCTCTACATGAAGCCAGACTCGGGGGCTATCGCCTTTGTTCTGCTGGTCGATAAGGAATTCAACATTAAGATAGGCAAGAAAGAAACGGAAACTAAATACGGGTTGCAGATTGACAATCTCTCTAGGTAAGAAATACAGACTTTATTTACACCCTTTTTAGTTTGCTGTTGCTTTTTTTTCTAAGGAAGAATCGATGCTCCAGGAGGGGTTAACAAGGCACTGCTGGGCTGATGTGGTGCAGCTCAGCTTCCTGCAGGGCTCGGCGCCCAGGCGCTGCTGGTGTGGTTATACCTGCTGGGGATTTGGGCTGTGTAGTGCTGATCATTTCTGATGTCTTAATGAGGCATTTGGAGCCTCAGCTGCTGTTTTGTCCATCCCTGTGGGTATTGCTCAGGCCTGGGGGCACCATGCACGTGGAGTTGCACAGTCTGTTTTTGCAGCAACTGCTTATGGTAATTTTCTAGGCACTCTGTTCCTCTATGCTGCAAGCAGGGATGTGTTCCTCTGCATCCCAATCAGGTTATTACCCAAAAGACATTCTAGGTGAGGTGAAGAGGTATTTAATATTTTTATGGCAGCGTGCAGTATAAATTAATCTTTCAAAAGATGTGGCATAAGTTCTCCTCCAAGTTAGGCTGATGCTATTAATTCAGATCTGGGGTATTTTTTTTACTTGGCAGAGCAATAGTGTGGTAGTCACTCGCATCAGTTCAGTGCTGATTTATTCTTCCGCAAACAAAGCAGCAGAGACCCTTGCTATTCCTTACTTTTTACTTAAATAAAATATGACTGTTACAGGTGCATTTATCAATGTGGGTAGACAGCAAGGAGCAGCCCAATTAAATGCATTTGGTTTCAGCATCCTGCCCTGTGCACCCTCTGTTTTACAGGTCGCTGATTTTGAAGTGTAACAGCTACAGACATGCCCAGTGGTGGAGGCAGGGCATAGACGAGTTCGTTCGGAAGCACGGCAAGGACTTCCTGACAGAGCACCGCTTCGGCTCCTACGCGGCCGTGCAGGAGAACACGCTGGCCAAGTGGTGAGGACTGTGGCACCAATGCCTGAAGCAGTGATGGCACACACCTGCCTGCATTAGCCCTGGGCCTGGGTAGGGCTGGTAGCGTTTGGTAGCTATAGGGATTGATGGTAATTAGAGAAGTTGGAAAAAATGAGGCTTTCTTCACCGAGAACAGAATAGCGGTACTGATGACAGGAGGGCTTTGATCCCGTTATGGCTTTGCATCGGAGCTAATAGCATTTTGAAACATCAAGTTTCATTTGGGTATTTAATATAATGACAAAAATGGCATTCTGGTGCACGTATAATTGGCAGGATGCTTATGAGTTAAAACCAGAGCTGCTTTTTCATTAAGATATTCCTGGCTTCGTTTTTATCCCAGTTTCTGAATCTGGAAACTCTGTTTCCTAAGGGCTTAGGTCTTTGGGCTCTGGGTTGTAAGCCCAGAGCAACATAGGTCCTGTTGAACACATCTGCCTCTTTGGCTACTCCCTTCTCCATAGCTCTTTCCCAAAGCAGCTGTGCTGCAGCCTCTCCTGCCTGTGCTCCTCTGCGACCGATGGTCCAGTCACGTCCTTCATGCTTTGAAATGTGAGATACGTCCTGCTCGCCACGTTTGCAAGGCTGAATCTCATTCTGTAAGGCATCGTTGCCCTTCCAGGCACTGTGAATGTGTTCAGTAGCAAATGTCATTCATCTGGTTGAAGAGCAGCATCCAATTCAGGCCTTGCAGATTGGCTTTGCACTGAAAGAGAATCAGCAAATGCAATTTTGGGTATAGTCTAAGGGTGACTGGGCTTTATGCACACAGCAATCCCATGAGAAATCCTCCTGTCCGTGCTGTAACCTGATTGCACTAAGCCATTCCCAGAAACAACTCATAAAATTATTCTAGCTGGAAGCAAGCCCTTGCAGTGCTCTCACTGCAACTTCTGCCTTGCAGCAGCCATTGCCCAAATAGTTTTGGTAAATTGAAGCAAACATCACTCCGTCATCCTTTCCCAAGAGCCAGACCTCGCTTGCACATCAAGCAAAACCCAAGAACATTGTGTGCAGTTGGCAGAAATGCCAAGTGGCACTTAATAGTCTCTGACTGTGCTGTATCATTAAGCTCCTAATAGCAGCATGAAATTCTCCCTGCGTGTTGTCCTAATTCTTGAAATTAGGTTTGTGTTTGCTGTTGAGAAGAGAACATAAATGCCATTAACATGGAGCCCCATTGGTCTTCAGCTATGGACTTTGTTTAATGAAGGGGGAGGAAACCGAGGTCGATGTGCTGTGTTTGCCTTCACAGGTATGTAAATGCCAAGTGGTACTTTGAAGATGTCGCGAATGCCATGGAAGCTGCGAAGGAAGAGATTTTCATCACGGATTGGTGGTGCGTACTTACAGATTTGGATGTTGACCAGCCGTCTCCCTTGGGACGCTCCTGACAATGCAGCACTGTTGGGAGGCCCTACAGTATGGCAATGAGCCCTGTGGCCAGATGGTTTGGCAGCACACCCAAACATGTATTCAAAGGCCTTTTCAGGAGGGTTGGCAGCAAAAGCGCATGCTTGAAATCAACAGCTTGGTTGTCTCCTTCCGAGGAAAGGCCTGAAACTGCGTGAAGGCACCACCTGAATTGAAAATCTTATGACTTGAGGTGCTCATCAGCAGTGTAAATTGCTGCGAATCCAAGGGACAAGGATGTTTTTCAGTGTGTAAGGGAACGTGGACACCCAAATGTCTCTGACAGTGCTCTTCACATGTGATCCTGCATGGCACTCTCCTTTCAGCTCCTCTTCACTGTTTTGGAAGCCTCATGCCAGCGATGAGAGCACCCTGGGAGGGTGTAATTTTGCTCTGCTCTTAAATGGGCCAGACAACAGAGGGGGACTTTTCTTGTCCCTTCCCTGACCTGTGTGGCTGCCAACGGACCTGGCTCTGCTCACTTCTGAACTAGTGATTTGTTGTTTTTGTGCAGTGCTCTGGTTCCTGTTTGAAGCAGAAGAAGGGTGCTCTCAGTCTCAGGGCAGAGTTTCTTGGCTGGGTGCCGGTTGCGGCTCCCCGTGTCTTGTCTTTGTGGAGGTTAATATGGCTGAGCCAGCCTGGACAGGGGACAGGACAGTAGGGCAGGCTTCCAAGCCACAGCTCAGGTGTCCTCTTTAAACTTGGGCATGTCTATGTGCTCCTCTTTCTCCAGCTTTAAAATGAACCTCTTGCTACTAATGCATTGCCCACAGGAACTAAGACGATTAATTATTGGGTGGCAATTATGAGAAAACTAAATATAATGTCAGGATTTACTGGGGTAAAGCTGTTTCCTAGCCTGACCACAGATAAACCCAATGCTCCGGGATCCCCATGTGCAACATCAGGTAGCAACGTAAGAGCGTTGCATTTCAGACCCGTTGTCTCTTTAACATTTTATTCAGACAGTTGTTCGTGTATCTTGGAATTGGCCAACTTACCTTAAACTCCAAGTTTCAGCTAAAAGTGCTGTTATTGGAAGCATGTTTTTTAGGATGTAGCAGTATGCTTTAATCAAGCACAAGTTCCCATACTCAGTACAAAAGTAAAGCAACAAAGTTCTGTCACCTTCCTTTGCAGGAGTTATATGAGATTGCTTAATTATTCCTCGTAATCGTTAAAGCTACGGATTAGTAAAATCTCCTGTTGAGAGATCATACTGCTTTGTCCTTAGGCAGCAAGGAAAATTCAGCACAAATCTATGCTACTCACATAGCCTGAGTACCAGGAGAACTGAAATCCAACTCTTATTTATTTTAATGCCTACGCATTTCTTTGAAATCTACCTTGGGGGTTTTCTTTTGTTGCATCCTTCTTTCATAAATAAAGTCCAAGCTTCCCCCTTTATATATCAGGGTTAAACTTGTTCTCCTGTGTTGCTGAATCCCAAGATGCATGTGCTGGGTGCATCCTCTGCCCTCTGTAATGCTCTGTTATTAAAAAACAAAGAGCATGACATTGGAGAGCGCCTTGCTTAGGACATGAGCCTTCACATCCACCTTATATAAATTTGGTGTTTTATTTCTTTGCTTACTGAGTTGATTATTTAGGCCAATGCTTTGTTTGCAGACTACATATCCTGTGTTTTTTTCCACCTTTGTATTTGCTTAGGCTGAGCCCAGAAATCTTCATGAAGCGACCCGTTGTGGAAGGCAATCGCTGGCGGCTGGACTGCCTTCTCAAACGGAAAGCAGTAAGTGAGCTCCAGCTGCAACCTTCACCCTGCAGAAAATCCTGTCTGCCCACCCAGTTACAGGGTCATACTGGGACCGCAGCATTTGCACCCTTTGTTTTTGTAGGGGTGAGAGCTAAAGCTGGCCAAGGCTCACTTCAGATGACCTCAGAAAATGATGTTTTAATTTCCTCCCTCTATTTGTGTTTGGAAGAGCTCAGAGGCAGAAGGGCAGACCCTCTCATTGTCCCTTCACGTCCTCAGATTTGGGTCATTTCAGCCTTGCGTTATGACTGCCCCAGCTCCTGGTGGGTCAAAGAGCTGTTGCTGTCAGGTGCTTTGCTTGTGGCATACATAATTTAGAGTTTTGGGAAGGACTAAGCACTTCGTGGTGGCTCTTGGCACGTGGTTGGTACATCACTGTTGTGCGGATCGTGTCATTACCGTGTATTGTGTCTCTGTGCTGCAGCTTTCAGAGCTGAAGCTGTGAAAGGTCTTACCAGTCTGCTGAGAAAATCAGGATGCATTGGCATCAGCAAAAGATCAACTGGTATCATACAGAGGTTTGTGCTATCTCACGACAGCCTTCTCATTGGATTTTCCATACTTGAGGCATTGCATAGGTCCTTGCTACAACTGAACGTTGAAGAACTGATGTTCCTGCTCTTCACCCATCATTCCTTGCTGTAGTGAAGAAGTGCCTGTTGACATTAAACATCATCCTAGTGTCCTCCAGTCCCCTTACCTGTGGTGGAGTCCCTTTTGCTTAGTCCTGCCCACACCAGACTGCCCAAACCTCTTCTTTTTACCATAGCTTTTTCACAGCTGCGACTATTGGTAATAATGAATTTTAGTAGCACATAAGAAAGACCAAAGCCTGAAAGGTTTTTGTGGTTTTTTATTATTATTTTTATTCCCAAGGATAACTTATATGATTAGAACAGGTTTAAATTGTTTGGTATCTGCCTCTTATTACCTGTATGTCTCCCGGTTTTCTTTGTTTCTACCCACCCCTTTCTATATTTCATGGCTCTTGTGGCCACTAAGAGGAGGAAGATCAGCTGTGCCCTCCCTGTCTGTCCCTTCTCAGGTGGAGACTGGTCATGAGGGTCCTGGTTCACTGCTGTGGGGAAGGGACATGGGGAAGGGTTTCAGCAAAGCATGAAAAAGAAGCACACAGACGCAAGCAGCATCAGGCTCCCCAGAGCTGGACTGTGTTCAACTTGCCTACCAGGAGGTGATAAATGTGGCTCAAAGACTTGGCCTCCTATTTGCATATTTGCTATGTTATCTGAGTTAATAAATGCTCATGTTCATTAAACAAATGCTCTTATAAACTTGATAAGGCTTTTTCTCCCTCTGTTTTAATTTCTCCTTCTTTGCTGTTCCTCCTGAAGAAAAAAGCTCAGACTTGCTGTTGACTTGATGCCTTTCCTGGCACTCCCAGACAGGATTCCTGTGCAAAGCTCTGTGCTGTTGTGCACTCTCCTTTCTTGTGCAGCACTTGGAGATATGAGCAGGCAACCACAACTACTAGTTCTATTTTCTTTTCTTTAAGCATTTTAGTCTTGGAAAACTGTTTATTTTGCTGTTTGTTGTTACTGTGCTCTCTAATAATGCATCTGAGTCCAAACTATAGAGAATGAGTTTCAAGGAGCCAAGCGTTCCCGACAGAGAAGGAGAGTGAGGTGGTTATGAATGTGGGCTGTACTTCAGTCCTAACCTGTGATAACACCCGTGCCAGACATGGTAGCTTGCACCATGTGAGCAATGAGTCAGGAGGGGAAGTGCAGCCGGGGAAGTCTCTTGAACTCTTGGTGTGGTGGAAGGGCAGGAGTCCAGGTGGATGTCCTGAAGTAGTCTTTGACTCCCTCTTCTTCAAACCGGTTGTCGTCACAGTTCTCACCCTTCCACATGCCTAGAAGAGTTTTTGTGTCTGACTGTTGTTGATTTGTAGTTTTATGTTCTGGCAAATGAAATGTGATCATGGGACATGCTCACTGGAAGAATTTAGCTTTATTTGTTGCGTTGACGTGATTTTCCTATGGCTCCAAATACCTTGTAATAGTGAGGAGTGTTTTAAGGTTAGTTCCTGGAAATACTTGCCTGTTCTCTCACTTGTGGCATTTGGCAGTCAGCAGGCTGGTATAGGGTATGGCTGTCCTTTGTCTGTACAGTGCTGCCTTGGGCTTCTCTGGGAGCAAAGTATCATCCACAGTTTGGAGACTACTGGGGCTATTAGTAGCAGCTTTATGGAAATAAACTTTCCATAGCCATTTAAAGCTTCTAGGTCCCAAGTTTAAGCTTCAGTGCAAGATTTGAAGCCATGCTGATTTACGGCAGCAGTTCCAGTGTGTGTCCAGTGTCTTTCCTCGCTTCAAAAAGGGATGGTATCCATTGAAATACCTGCATATACCATGTTTCTTTTTATTTCTGACAGCAACAAGGAGTGAGAATTTTTGTTATGCTGTACAAAGAAGTGGAGCTTGCCCTAGGGATCAACAGTGAATATAGCAAGCGGACGCTCATGCACCTCCATCCAAACATTAAGGTAATTGCCCATCTGACAGCTGTATGAAGGACATTTGCATTAATTTGCTCTCGATAGCCAGTGTTGACCCTCAGTGTATTTGGATGTGAACTGGAAGAACAGTGATTCCCACTGTTGCAGTGGGAATAGTCTGAGAAGACGTTCCCATACAGTGATTACCACATCTGGCAACTTCGTTTCTTTAGGTTATCATTGAACATAAAATTGCTTAGTTTAGACTTGCCAAAGCAACTACTCATCTAATTCACAAGAAACGTATTTTCTGTGACAAGTTAATGGGGTTACATCAAATGGAAAATTACAGTTTGAAAATGTTGTCTCATTTCAGCATTTCTGTTCATACGTAGATGACGAGAGACAGCACTGGATGTTTACATTCCCGTCGTGAATGAACATCATTGTGCTGTCCTGTGCTGTTTCGCCACTGCTCTGTCACAGAGTAGAAAATGAGATGTGGCACGTGAACCAGTATATAAGGCTAGATCCAGTCTCTTGAAATTAGAGACATATACATTTTAATGAGTATTAAGATATATGTTATGCATGCGGGTGACTAACAGACTGCTAGAATAATAGATTTATTGTCACTTGACCAGCTGTCACAGTGAAGGGGAGCATCCATTCACCATCATCTTCACAGCAAGGCTGGAAGGTGTAACTGGAAGATATGCGCTATGTGTGCAACAGATTTTGGGAGCAGCCAGGTGAAACTCTCAGGTTTTTTCCCCAGGAAGCTTGTCTAATGGGTCTCTTCTAACATAAAATATATATATATATACACACACACACACACTGAATACTTAGATACAGAAATTACTTAGCCAGAAACACATGTCTAAAAGAATCTCATAAACAAATGTCAAACAAGTTGCTGATTTTAAATGGGGAAAAAACCAGCCAACTTCTTGTTTCACTTATGTAGTGGCAACAACCGAAGAAGTGAGTCAGATCACCAATATGTTGTTTTCATTTAGAACAGGCTCTGTGTTTGAAAGCTTAATAATTATAGCTCTGCTGAAAGCGTGATATTATCTGTTGAAACAGTTTCCTTGACTGTAGTCCTCTTATGAACACAGTTGTTGTACGTGTGCCCTCTCCACACATCAGTAACCGTTGCTGCTGGGGAATACCTGCATGGTGGGGAAGTACCTGGGTGCCAGAAAGGCTGAGCCCAACTCAGGGGGATCACGTACCTTCAGTAGCTACAGCAGTCTTTGTGGAGGCATCTTCTAAAAACTCCAGTGTTTCCCCATCAGCCCAAGCAACCAAAACAAAGCGCTTGGCAGCTCTCTGACCAGAGGGGACTAAACTGGTCAGTTATGCTGAGCTTGAGTGCTGGTTTTCTCAGGTGATGAGACACCCAGACCACGTGTCTTCCTCCGTGTACCTCTGGGCCCACCACGAGAAACTCGTCATCGTTGACCAGTCTGTGGCATTTGTGGGCGGCATCGACTTGGCGTACGGCAGGTGGGATGACGACGAGCATCGCCTGACCGACGTGGGCAGCGTCAAACGGATGACGGCAGTGAAGTCAGTGTCGACGACCAACCTGGCAGTAAGTGAGCTGGCTCCGGCTGGTGGCCACCTTCAACATCTGCATGTTGGGTTTGTGGTGGGGATGAACAAGCCGTGTCCGCTTCTAAGTGTAGAGTTGGGTTTAGGAAGTTTAAAGAGGAATAGTAATGGGAAGTAGGAAGTATCTGAGCATTGAATGATTCTTTAGGGGTAGATCCTGACCAGCCCTTGCTAGGACATGGAGACAGACAGCTGGGTTTCCCCTGGAGCTTGAAGCAGCAGTCACAATTTGGAGAGTAAAAATAAAATTTTGCTAGAGATGTACAGTAGGTGCTCACTGAGTGCTCTGAACTTGTGGATACTTGGGCCCTTAGCAAGTGCCTTACTCTTTGAGCTTTCTGCTAACCTGGGTCTGTATGCACCCAGAGATCTCTAAAAAAATTGAAGAGGTCTAAATTTATGAGAATTTCAAGGGGAGTAATAATTCACAGTAAATTTATGGGATTGAAGAATGTACTTCTAGCACTAACGGGTTTTTCTGTTGAGTGCCTCCTTGGTACAGACTTTCTCCCTCCAAAGCATCAGTTCCCATTGAAGTGTGTCCCTGTCATAGAGCAAAGTTTGGCTCATGGTTGTTTCTGAGCATTGTTGTACATGATAATCTGTAATGAAAGGAGAACCAGTCCTTACACGGCCTGCAGCAATGTTCTGTGTCTTTTAAGTCTGCAGCGGAGTCATCTGAACGTGTCCCCCTGCAATCTCAAGCTCTGTCCCCAGAGAGCCACTTGTTCCAGAGGAATGCTGATGATGCCCCAGACACATCAAAAATGAAAGGAGTAGGAAAACCCAGAAAGTTTTCGAGGTTCAGTATTTACAGGCATCTCCATAAACACGGCATGCACCATGCTGACAGCATCAGCAGCATAGACAGTGATTCAAGTAAGTAATGTTTTTCAACTAAACAACATACATAGTGTGTGTGTAGGTGGGTGGGTGGGTGTACGTGCAGATTCACATAATTTCTAGAGTGATGTGTTCTTTGTAAGGAAGGAAAGTTGATGAATTTCTTAACTATCAGAGTAATAACTGTGTAGTCAATATGTAAGTCTGTGTCATTGCAAAATAAATAAAAGTTTTAAGTGGATTTGCATTTAGTTAATTAGCAATTGTCATGAGCCATCAGATGACGTGCTACAGTATATGTGATCTAATGTTTATACTGATGGAAAATTTTTGTTCTGCAAGGGAAAATAGAATTTTTCATTTTTCAATTTGTGTTTATTGTAACAAGTGAAACAGTTTCTGAATGTGCTTATCCCCTCTCATAGATTAGTGGTACCTAGGTTTAAGTCAATTCACTTAAATGAAAATATTAAAGAGAAGTGACTGTTCAGCAGTTGAATATTTGAATTGCAGCTTTTAATTCCTCACATTAAAAACAGCTTTAGAGCTAAAATTAAAGGGATCAGCTTGACATTTGTTCCAGCACGGAGTCCTTCCTGAAATCTGTTCCTGAAGTCCGCAGCTCCTGAAGCTGTGTGTTGTTCATGCTGAGGACTTATTTGAGTTTCCATCACTCCTGCCTCTGACCGGAGGAAGCTTTGCTGGAGCAATCAGCTCAGGACCTAGCCATGGCTTTGCTCCTTCAGTATATCTGTCTGGTTTAGAACCAGCCAGGTCTTCAATTTGGTCCTCTGCCTGTTGGTCTCTTGTAGCTTCAGCAAATTGACAATTCTGTCGAGATCCTGTCATGCAAGGTGTCTTCAGACAGGGTCAGACACCAGTGTAGAAAAAGTGGACATGTGTGTTTTGCCATAAATCGAGCATCTTGACTTTCTGCAGGTTACTGTAACCCCACTAGAAGTCAACCGATTAAAATCAAGAGTTTAAAGCCCCATCTGAAAATGTTCCATCACCACACTGAAACCAAACAGGGGCTCGCTGAGCCTCAGCAGGGTAAGTGGAGGAAGGCAGAGGTGCAGACCCCTTTAGGCTTTAGCTGCCAATGTTTTTGCCTTGTAACGATGGTGAGAGTTAGGTTGGGTACCAGGATCAGCCTTTGCTGCTTCTTGTTCTCCAAGCATCCTTAGTACCCCTCTGAGGACAGCCTGGCAGAGGAGCCTTCTCCAGAGGCTTCAAAAATGGCAGCATAAATAAATAAAAATTCAAAACCAAAAATACAATGACAACAAAACAACAGAAAACACACTAAAGAAGTTTTCAATAATGGCAGCAGGGAACAGTTGAGGATTCTGGCATATGATTATTTCAGGAATTCTCTTCCTGTAAAGGTGGAGGCATGTTACTGGAACTGGAAACTTCTGCATTGGATATTTTAAAATAAGCCTAATGCCAGAAGACAAATGCAGACAGAGGAAACAGTGAAGTGGCTGCTGCCAGGCCTATGTTTGGATGAATACTTGGAGGAACCCCTCTTTTGCCCCTTACTAAAATCAGTGAAAGCATACTCGATTGAGAAAACATACTCAATAAGCACTGAGCTCTGGGCCAATTTGGAAAGGCCCTGTTTAATTATGGTACCTCGCTGAGACACCTCTGAGTGCTGGTAGGGAGTGAGGAGCAGTTCTTCAACACCTTCCTCTTCCTGACGAATTCCTCTAAGGCATTACTTGCCAATTATAAAACATTGATTACAAAGTAGTGGCAGGTAACTGGGAAGGGATGCATTTGCTTCATGTGAAATGAAAGTGTGGTGTCACCTCATGCTCATTCACGAGTTGGTGTGCAGTCATTGAAGCTGGTACATGAAGCGTGTGTTGGCTGGACGGTGTGTCCACTCATCCCCATCGGAGCATGCAGAGGCAGCCGTTCCCCAGCTCCACCTGGACTCTCACTACAACCTCCTGCTTCCCATGGCAGCTGTGGTGCAGGCCTGCTGCATGGCATTTTTGGCATGGCTTGGCTCAGCTCAGCTCGTGG